TCATTGTTGTTTGGCGGGTCCGGGCTGGGGATTCGAACCCGCCACCTTAGGTGTACGTGGCTAGCGCCTTAGCCGGTTGAGCCACAGGCGCCGAGCCGGAAAATGTGAATTTATACTGCAGCAATATTCTGCAAAGGAATCAACAGAAGAAAAGCAAAAACTTAAACTGGCTTAGATAAACACCCTCTGAAGTGCAGTGGTGAGATCGTAGTTCACTGCAGCCTGGAACTCCTCGGCTCAAGTAATCAATCCTACCTCAGCCTCCTGAGTAGCTGGTACTACTACAACCAGGCACCACTATGCTGATTCCAAATGAATAATCTAAATTCAGAAGCATGGGAGAGCCGGGGTGGATTTAATCTGGAGCCATTTTAAGTGCTTGAAAAGGGAACCTATTTATAGTAATGCTTAGGCTTTAAAGAAATAACTGGGTGGGTCAGTGGTGGTGGGGTGGGTTCACAAGGAAACTCCATTCAGGTGTTAAACACATTCCCAAGTTGGGAGCCAGATTCTGATGCTGAAATGGATCCCAGAACGGTTCAGAACCTGGTGATGGGGCAAGGACACTTACTTAACTCTGGGAGCTCAACATGCCCTCGTATACCCTCTGCAGAGTGTGAAAATCTCACTCCTTCACCACTTTGATTTTCACCAGCAGGAAGTTCACCTGGAGTATGTTAAATATAATAACCTACATAAACTGTCAAATTCATAAACCCTTCCTGTAAGACAGTGGTTCTCAACCTGTGGGTTGCAACCCATAGGAACTGTATTAAAGGGCCGCGGCATTAGGAAGGTTAAGAACCACTGCTGTAAGAGGTAATCTAATGAGTGGTACTCTGACATTCACAGGTTTTCCTCACGTATGTAAATTACATTCTGATACCAGAAACTCTATGCACATCCACACCAAAACACTTGTTTGTGCTGAGACTTCCAGTGTTTAAAGCAGATGGTCAGGTTAGAATATTCTGTATGTGCCCTGAATGGGCGGAGAGTATAACAGATGGGAAAACACAAGCAAATGAAATAGTCATTGAACTTATTTAAGATATAACAGTCTATCCTGGAAGGTAGTTTCTAAGGAACAATTTAAATCAAGAATTGAGAGAGCCACAGGTGACTCACCTGGGACCAGATAGACTGCTTGAAAGGGAAAGCTATACAAGGCACAACTGCCCAGGAAATGGCCCCAGGCACCAGACATACAATTTCAGAAAGTATAGAACCCAGGCCCTACTGACATCTACCCAGAGGTCCCCTGCTGTCTCATGCTCTGAGGCTTCTCAAGAGTCTACACTCCTGAGTGTCTGTCCTGAGCAGTTGGAGGCTCTGCAGGGAGGGCAGGCTGCCTGGGAAGCCGGAGGGAGCCCCATGTCTCTCCCTCTGCAGCCTCCAGACTGGTCTCAGCTTGGAGCCACTGGCCTGAGGCTCTGCTGCCCACTGTGGGCTGTTCACCTGCTTCTCACCTCACCAACCCTGAGCAGTTAAATGGGGCAAAGCCCCTCGATCCTAGTATTTGAATAAGACACCAGTAGAGTTCTGGGTTTCCTCCTGTTTTTATTCATAGAAGAAAATTCGAAGATATTGTCTATGAATTTAAAAAATCATGAATATTTATTCCTTTGAGAATAGAAAGATTATAGCCAACTATTGTTTCCACAGTAACAAACTTATGTAGAACAATTAAACAGACGTGATCTCTCCCTTGTACCTCTGCTTCACACTTCAAGGTTATCATGAGACACTTTGTGCCTGAGAGGTACATGCCCAGTTTACCCATTTGAAACTCTTTTTTTTTGAGACAGAGCCTCAAGCTGTCACCCTGGGTAGAGTGCTGTGGTGTCGCAACTCACAACAACCTCAAATGCTTGGGCTTAAGTGATTCTCTTGCCTCAGTCTCCCAAGTAGCTGCACCCAGTTATTTTTTTTATTGCAATTGTCATTGTTGTTCAGCTGTCCCAGGCTGGGTTTGAACCCGCTAGCTTCCGTGTATGTGGCCGGTGCCCTACCCACTGAGGTGTTGCCCCATTTGAAACTCTTAACCCAAACTTCCGCACTGACCCAGCCCAATCATGTCTTTAACTACATCCTAAGCATTGTATAAATAACTTTCCTTCTCAGGCACTCAAACTGGCCCCAGATTAAATCCACCTCTGGCTCTCTCATGCCCCTCAATTTCAGTTATTTATTTGGGACCAGCAGAGTGGAAGTAATCCCAGCTACTCAGGAGGCTAAAGCAGGAAAAATCGCTTGAGCTCAGGAGTTTAAGGCTGTAGTAAGCTATGCTCACATCACCACAATCTGGCCACCACAATCGGGCAACAGAGCAAGACCCCTGTTTCAAAAATAAATAAACAAGCCTTGGCACCTGTAGCACAGTGATTACAGCACCAGCCACATACACTGAGGCTGGCAGGTTCGGAACCAATCTGGGCCAGCTAAAACAATGACAACTACAACAACAACAAAAAATAGCCAGGGGTCATGGTGGGTGCCTGTAATCCCAGCTACTTGGGAGGCTGAGGCAAGAGAATCACTTATGCCCAAGAGTTTGAGGTTGCTGTGAGCTGTGATGCTACAGCACTCTACTGAAGGGAACATAGTGAGACTTTGTCTCAATAAATAAATAAATAAAAGTATTTCATTTGAGACTGTCTTCCAGGATAAACTGTAATATCTTAGGTGAGGACCACATATATTTTGTTTGCTCTGTTCTCCCTAACCTGTGTTACTACCTGCTCACGATGGCACAAACAGGATATTTGAAACCGATGATCACCTGCTTCTCACAACCTGAGAAATCCACACCCCAGACAGGGTGTGTGGATGTTCATGCCATCCTCACTACAGCAGGGAGCTTCTTTTTCTTTTCCTTTCCAGAAAATAGCTAAAAGTTTCCTGTAAGACTTTTAAATAGGAAAATACAGTTGATAGAAGTAAAGGTAACACCATTCAGTTTGGTCTCACTTATATGATTTATCTTTTCCTAGTTACAAAAGCAATAAACTTTGTGAAACTTAAATAGATTTCCCTGAATCAGAAAAGTGCAAGGGGGAAAAAAATCTACAAATGGAAAGAAGTATTAGTAACTGAATTGGTACGAAGGACCCCGCCTTCTGAGAAGGCGACCTTTGGTGTGAGACCTGAAATAATATGTTAGTAAAGAGCAAGGGCACAGGTTTCAAGGAAGGTGGCCCAGTCAGAAGCGTAAGGAATCTGTCTCTCCCCCTTGGCAGAATCTGATGAAGCTATTTTGTACCTCTGGAGTCAAGTATAGCCTTAGAACTTCTAGGGCAAGAATTGGACAGTAAAATGAGACTTATTCATGTTATTCTGTCACTTAGCACACTACCAGCTACACTTTCCACACCCCACTTCTGTTTCGGGCAGCCACGCCTATGTGGCCTTATAATTTAGCATTGGAGTCCCTCTTAGGAATGTGGATACAAACTCTAGTCCTACCATGAAAATTTGGTTGTGGATGTTCACAGTGTACTTTTCATAGGGTACTTCTTCATACTGACAAAGGGTCTCATGTTTATGTGTCAACCCGTGACCAAGTATCCCCCACAGGAAGCTTGTTTCTACTGGCAGATGCCCTTGTGGCTTTTATTTTCACCGTGTCCTGTAATTCCTACCAAGATAGCCACTTCAATAGAGCCCTAACCTGTAAATAAGTGGGAATTAGGTGTGACATTCTCGTGGGACACATGACACCACATCAACCAAGGCCACATGTGTATTGTGGGAGTTTCAGAAGGAGAAGAGAGAAAGGAGAAAGGAACACATTTGAAGAAATAATGGCTGAAAACATTCCACATTAGATGAAAGACATGAATGTAGATATCCAAGAAGGTCAATGAACTTCGAGAAGGATGAATGCAAAAAGAATCACACGAAGACACGTTATTTTCAAACTGTTAAAAGCCAGAGACAAAGAAAACATCTTGAAAGCAGCTACTCAGCT